ATACGATAATTAAAATTCAGTGAATATTTATCGCTAGCCCTCGTTTCCTGGTTGTCTCCATAGCGGACACGTGAAATTCATTCTTGTTGCAAGTGGCGCACACGCAACGGCTCAGAGAATGCTGTCATAATATCGATTCCTAACAAACTAAAGTGATAATATAAAATTGTATATAGTCTAGCCTGTTCTAAAGATTACGCCATGTCGCTGATTCAACACAATGCAAAATTTTATGAGCTAGCCGTGGGTCACAATAAAACAATTTATTACTTCAATCATTCTCATTCGACCATCCCAAGAAAAAACGATGACTGCATGGATGTTTTCGATTATCCCGTAGAAAACTTGTATTAGAAAAACACACAGGATAAAATTTTGTGATCATTTTGTCAAGCGTAATTTCAGCAATAAGGTTTTCTGATGAGAACAAAAGGGCCCGCACGTACCTCGTACCACCCACTGAGATGCCAAACGAATTAAATGAAAAAGGACAGGGTAAAAAACCAAAGGCATAGTGTGGTGTGTTTTGGTTTTCAGTGGTGTCTTTTAGACGCAGAAGACGAGATTTTGCGGCAGTTGTGCTACTCGACAGATCGACCGCGTGGTCTACCCGATTGTGTAAAGACAAAGATAGAGGCCGCGAGACATCCAACGATTATAGTGCCAGCAATCAGAAGATTCAAGGTTCAAGCACTGCGCAACAACAATTTTCATTGATACGGTCAACAGCCCAGTACGGTCAAAACTCTTATCAGAAGAAGCGGCACGGTCCAGTCATCAAAACGACACGGTCGCTGTCCCCACTTCAACACGATACGGTCGCAGTATAGGTGGTCACATTTATCATCGGCGGCACGACAATGTACCTTCTCGACCGTAGTGCCACGGTAGTGAGCTCGAAGTAATACTGTAGCGGATCTCGCTACATTGAACTAATTTTATGTTTATCATATTAACTATATCTATAAGAATAGTCCGGAGAAAACTCACTTCCGTTGGCAGGCAACATTTCACTTCCGCTAAGCCCCTCTCTCTCTAGCTTCCTTCCACGCTTAGAGCTCATTCTTTTCCTGCCGCCGTGCTGCTAACACCTCCTGTGATCTCAAATCGGCGATCAGGAATCATTCCTGCCCCTGCAACGCGTAAACTCAACATCTCGTGTCTGTACAACGACGCTCATCTCGTGTCTGTGTAACGACTCATCACGTGTGTGTGCAATGACGCTCNCAATCTATTTCTATTGGCATAACTCTTGTTACCCTGGCCTTAAGAAACACTTGAGACGCAGTCAAAGTTACAATAATTAAATGTGGTCGGGTGCTAGTCCCCACACTGAATTCAATTCACTATTTTGGCAGCCAAACGGCAGGGAGCGCAGCCGTGCACCACCAATTTTGTGCACCAATAAGCCCTGAATCGAACGCCTTGGATCTCTCCGGACATCCACCAATCAGCCGTGAACCACTCGGCTTTGTCCTCCTCAGGCCTTGCATAAAACCTGCCGTGCACCACCAGGCCGCGGATCGAATATGACTTCCGGGCATCGTTAAATTACGTAATTTTACGTTCACCTCATCTGAGGTTAGGTTTCAGATAGCATAGTTCGACGCACGGCCTAGATATGATTGTCCAGAAGTGTTGAAGGCTATGTTCCGGAAGGCATAAATCATGATGGTCCATTACATCCAGGGCAGTGGTGGTCTTCGGCAGGCGACCCGAACGGCTTATGTCAATTAAGAGGCCCAAACGATGATGTCCGCATCAACGTGAGTTTCGAGTTGATTGGATTTATCTTCTTCAGTGGAGGGAAAAATTACTTCAAATACCTTTTTAGACAATCATACTAGCAATTTTTCATTTACATAAACTTCCTATGTATGAACCAATAATCAGTCTTGGTAGTCAGTCGTAGAGACATCGATGTTCCCTCAGAATTGATGCAATGGTCATGATAATACTTAGTTAATATATGGAAAAACTAAAGTGATCCTACCGAAGGCTAAACTCTTCCATCAATCTTTAAGCATTGAATTAACCTGTCATCTTGGGGTTGTGCGATCCATCTTATGAACTGAATGAATATCAGTCGGGAAGTCACGCATAGCGCTAACATTTTTGCTTCTTGGTGTTCATAAGACCTGTTCTGATATTGTTGCTACAGACACTCCTCTCCAGCCACAGCTGGGGACCAGCATGAGGAGCTTTGCTGTGTGCGCACTGGAAGAGAACACCGAAGGCGCGCAAACAAAGCCCTTTAACATACCTTCACTCAGCGGTAAGGAACAGGTCTCAAGACCAGGGCCCGAAATGTGGAATTTGATGTAATCTATGGAGAGAGATGCGCACTGTGGAAAGCTTCCATGAAAAACTAGAATTTAACGTCATAACGGAAACACATGGAAAATTCAAGGCATTTGTTTCTGTTTGCAAGTATTTACTCTATGGTCTAAACTCTGCCTCGACGGATCTCAGTTCTTCTTCTTTCCGTGATTTAAAATGCATCCTTTCAGACCCACTCAACTCCAAGATTCAAGCGCTAAGTCTCATTGACATTAATTTCACCTGTGCATGCGATTGTTTAGAGTTGATACATTAATTAGCTTATAAGACCTTTTCTGATATTGTTGCTACAGACACTCCCCTCCAGCCACAGCTGGAGACCAGCGTGAGCTTTGCTGTGTGCGCACTGGAAGAGAACACCGAAGGCGCGCAAACAAAGCCCTTTAACATACCTTCACTCAGCGGTAAGGAACAGGTCTCAAGACCAAGGCCCGAAATCTGGAATTTGATGTAATCTATGGAGAGAGATGCGCACTGAGGAAAGCTTCCATTAAAAACTAGAATTTACCGTCATAACGGAACACATGGAAAATTCAATGCATTTGTTTCTGTTTGCAAGTATTTACTATATGGTCGTAACTCTGCCTCGACGGATCTCAGTTTCTTCTTCTTTCTGTGATTTAAAATGCACACTTTCAGACCCACTGGTCCCTTTCACCTGTGCATGCGATTGTTTAGAATTGATACATTAATTAGCTTATTAATAATGTCGGATCAATGAAGTGCTTATGATAACTGGCGAATTAAATCTACTCAACGTCAGCTACGACCTCAATGCATATGATAAATTTCATGTCCTTATGTGACCGAGCCCGCGCTTGCGGCTCAGCATTGAAAGGTCCTGCAGGAATGCGGCGGTGGGCGTTTACCAACTTCGTTACCGCCAGCTAATTTTCCCGCAGGCCTCACCTTGTGCATCCCCCAGCGAGCTCGGGGAACCGCACGCATTCACAGGACATTTTTTAGGCCGCTGATACATTATTTTGGAACTATTAGCAAGTTTTTCGTGATTAATACGCACTTTTCGAGAGCAGAATGATATATAAAATTGATTAAAAATCCGTTATATGAAGCAATAGAGAAGCAAAGCAGGAGATAATCTCAGAACACCGTTCCATTTATTATTTATTAATCTAGAAAAAACAGTCGTCACTCTCCTTATCAATTCTAGGAAAAAGATGGAAAGACCACATAGGAGGCTGCAGCAGCCTGAAGAAGATGGCTATACCAAAAAATGCAATTTAATCAGGCAAGAGTAGTATTAGCAGCTACGCAGATACAGGAAATTAGAAAAAGTAGCAAAATAATGCAGGACATCCATTATCAAATAATAAAAAGACAATCGCAGCTCCTTTCATCAGTTAACGCAATAATAAAGTAAAGCAAATAAATCACAACATTGGGGGCAACAGCACATTTATAAAAAAAGGCTAAAGCAACATAATCAATCAAGAGCCTAGTAATGTAATTCCGGTAATAGCATTTCCTTTTGCGTGTTCAGTCCCACACATTAATAATAGTTCTCCGTTTTAAATGCAGTGAGAGAGCCAAAGTTACAACGAATTAGGTTGGATTTCAACAGCAAATTAAAGCTGAAAAAGTAAACAGAAAATATTTCTCAGTCAATTTCACCAGCCTAGAATTCCCCCACACTAGGAAACACTCGGAGTTGTGGCAGCAGCTTGTACCCGCGGCATCATTATACTTCTCACAAATCTTTGAGACATGAACTCCATTTACATGGAGCAGGAACTCAAGGTATAAGATAGAACGTAAATTAAGTTACAAAAATTTTTGATAGGTTATAACGCCATGATTAATAGCGTATGATTCTAAGGTTCATTTGATGGATGCTTAGAAAGAAGGTGTTTATTTAGACGTTGTTGTGTAATGCATTGTATATTTACAGTTTGAGCATGAGAAGGGTTTATTTTTAGAGTGCTTAGAAAGAATGTGTAGGTTTAGTTGTTGTTCTGTCACGCATGTATATATACATTTTGAGCAATGTAAAGGTTTCTCTGATAAATGTTTTGCAAGAATATGGTCCCTCATGCAGTGCTTATATGAACTAAAATATTCACAATGCTCGCACTGAAACTGCCTCTTGTTTGAGCGTTCAATATTCTGCTGAGGCTTCTTGTGTTGCTTGGAGCTGGACGGTTTAGAATGACAGCCACTGCCACCGGCTGCAGCTCCTCCAGCAGTGAACGACTTACCACTGCTGCACTGTTGACACAGCAACAAGTTATGTCAAAGCAGGTGCTTGTCATCAATGAATGGATTAGTACAGTGGTACACTAGTGAATAATTGTGGTCACTTTGTTCCTGTGCTTGTCTGTTAGAGACAAACACTGCTCAGTTCTCCATGATCTAACATGACCCCTCCTTCCAATGATAACATAACAATCAATTGGAACATAACTAATAACATAATCACAATTTTGATTTATCGCGTTAATGGAAGCAGACTTCAAAAAAATAATAAATGTGAATGTATATTTTCGTATGCAACAAATTAACTTATTTTCAAGAAGACGAGTAGAGCATGGACCGGCTTTGTCCAACTATTACTAGAAATAATTCTATCCCATTCACCATGGCCAAGAATGCCAGTGTAAATAATTTTATAGATTAATCTTTACATTATAAATACCACCAACCTGTTCACCAGTTTCATCCGCCATGATTGAAGAGAGTTGAGCAACACTAGCTTGGCCAGGGTCATCAGCAGCTTCAGCACGGACATCAGCGGCTGCAGCACAGACATCAGCAGCTGCAGCACGAACATCAGCATCAGGGACATCAGCAGCAGCACCAGAGACATCAGCAGCATCACAGCTCGTCACTTGAGCCGCCCTTGAGCAAGACGCAGAAGGCGGGGGAGGTGGAACAGGCTGGTCACTGCTAGCAGGGCTGGCAGGCCATGTACCTGCAATAACAAAAAAATTTGTATGTCTATCCTTTATATATTGTCTAAAAAAGTATAATAATTTAGAGCACTAAACTCTTTTATTAATTAAAAATTAGGGGAGGTGCCCATATGAAATGGAAAAAAAATTCAGAACACACAGAGACATTGGTTACAATTATGAAAAAACTATCAGATGAACTTGAAAATTTATGAAATTGTAATGCAAATAATGCCGAAAGTGGTTCTCATGAAGAAATAAGTATATAGGTAATAGGAAGTTGTTTACCTGAAAATAAACTTTGCTAATCACTATATATAGAAGGTCATTAATTATTTTCTCAGCTTTGAATAATTCTGATGCATCTCAAACAAGCAAGCTTGTTTACATCAGATGAGTGAAAGGAACTAGCAATTGATAAAAGTATTTCTACTTTAAATGATATTTATTTTCAGGAACCAGGAGGAAATTTACCTTGTGTGTCCATACTGAACCCAGGAAAATCATCATTGGAGGTCAGTTCTTCAAAAAGAACCCGTTCTTCTACCTCAATTTTGACCTCCTCCTTGATGCAGTTGAGTGGAACATCATGAACAGGAGGTAAGGAACACTCGTCCAGGACTGCACAACAAAATAATTTTCCCAATAATTGGCAGTGAAGCAATAATTAATTTTGGATCTGAATTTATAGGACATAAAACTAGTAGATCTATTGATAGTGCTGTGCACTGTGCTATCAGCTACCTATCTGTTGTGTGACTCTTCAATGTTTAGAAAATCTGCATTCCTGAAGTGTTTTTGTATATTGAAGCCAGTTGAATGGTCAATATTTAGCTCATTACCTTGCTTCATACAAACTTTACAAAGCTAATGAATAGACTTACCAATAATTGTTTACCCAAAAATCCCTAAGTGGTGAACACCACTTTGGCCTGTTGGCCATTATTGAAGTCAATAAGTGCCCTTTTTAGCAATCCATTATGATCCATATACTGTTATTGTTAGTAGGCTAATTGCAACATAAAAATAACACTTCAAAAAGACAAAAAGTTGGAAAAATCAAAAAAATCAAATAAATAAAAAAAAATCATGAAAAAAATAAAAAAAATCATTGATATTTTTACAAAAAATAAAAAAAATCACCAACCCTGCATCAGATGAGTGAAAGAAACTAGCAATTAATAAAAGTATTTCTACTTGAAATATATATTTTCAGGAACCAGAAGAAAATTTACCTTGCGCGTCCATACTGAACCCAGGAAAATCATCATTGGAGGTTGGTTCTTCAACCAGAACTGGTTCATCTATCTCAATTTTGACCTCCTCCTTGATGCAGTTGAGTGGAACATCAAGAACAGGAGATATGGAACATTCGTCCAGGACTGCACAATAAAATAATTTCTTTAAGATTTGGTGGTGAAGCATTAATTCATAATGGCGCTGTGTTGTGTGAGACAATGTCAATGTCATTCTTGACTAGTCAATGTCTCATGTCACAACTTTCTTCATCTTAAATGATCATCATTATATTGTGAACTATATTCAATCTCAATAAAATATGCAAAAGAACTTGTCTAATTTCTTTTCAAATTATTTACCCTTGAATATAAAAATGAACAGAGCTAGTAGGCCTACAGTTTACACAAAACAAGACTTAAGCACACACCTTCTGAGACCCGGAGGTGCTTGGGTAGGGCATTTCTCAGCACACCAGCCCTCGGAAAGTTTATGCAAGAAAACACTGCATTTTCTTATATTATTTGCCATGGCCAAATGAAGCGATTGACAATAACTAATATCTTGGACTTCAGCCTAGGGCTATTGAAGACAATTACTAGTATCTCTTAGGTTTGCAAAACAACAATAAAAAAACAAGCACTGAAATAAATGTAAAACTGTTTGATACATAAATGAGCACCATAAAAAGAATTCAGAACAAGCTTGCAATGCAAGCAGTTACCTAAAAACTATAAAATTGCTGATATATATAAAATGCTAAAAATTTTCACAAACAAAAAATGTAAATAAAAAAAATCAAATTAGAACATAATATGGCAGCCAAATTTTACCAAATATTGCAGGTAAATTAATAGGTTTCAGTGTTTGTCTTCATAAATTGCAGTTGAAAATTAGCCAGTTACTCAATAACCTCAATTGAAATGAGGAAATGTTGCAGGCACAGGAGTCTATGAGCCTGGTAACCTGACCAGAAGCATTGGCTGTAGAGGCTCATTCACAGCTGGCATTTGCGCCATTCTCCATTTCTTGTGTACTAGTCTTAAGTAGATATTGTTTAGTGTGGTAATAACTCTTTTCACAATTTAACCCTAACTGGAATGGCAGATTCTCTAGGTTGGGTTAAAAATATTAATATTTTATATTTTAAAAAATATTAATACCTATAAAAAAATAATCTTCATGATGGCAGGGAGGAGAGTCCCACCTTTTGCAGAAAAGTTTCGGCAAAATTAGCCTAACTTGATTTTAACTAAAATTAGGCAGAGGTTCTGAACAAATATGACATTTGTTGAAGGTTACAGGCCATCAATGTGTTGTTTTGATGACAATGATTTTTTTTCTCGTGGCCTTTGCTTCAAATGCAATTGAAACTAAACAAATTAGTATTACCTCATTATTATAGATGTTGAGTGAAAATATAATTTTAAATTTTATTTAAAACAGAATAACTATCTCATGCCTGCAGTATATTGAAAAATTGTAACTCGTTTCCAATACAGTTAACCACCTTTCATTTGGAAATTGACAATATGCTTTGACTTCAAGCCTAATCCATTTCTATCACCTTCTGGCTACAAGGATTATTTACAAACTGAAAAACCCGAGGAGAAATAAATGACTATATGCTGCTCAATGGATTGGTAATAAACAGCCATATTATATATTATATCAATTCCAAACATAAAACTTTTTATTGGAATGATGGAACACATAAAATTGGCAATTAGATGTAGACATCAACTGCAAGCTTCATATCAGCAGATATATAGCACTTCTCTGTATCTGTAAGTTTACAGTATGGCTTGTAATTTCCCCGTCCTGCAGAAATTACTGTAATTTTTTTGGAATGAGATTTGCGAATTCCGTCAATCATGCTTTTAAGCCAACACCTGTGGGTAAATTTTATGTAAGTAAAATTTTTTTATATGCCAAATATTTTTTTGCATATAAAAATGTTTCCAAAATCTCACTTTTCACATTTTTTTCATAGATTTTAATTGGTAGTAAATGTATGATTTCTTAACTAACTTTATGCTATATAGACAGTAAAAATGTTGAGCTTTATGCCATTATTTTTACTTTTGCAATATTTTGATTAGTTTAGCTGCTACAACATTTATACGAAATGTGGGACAACTATCCCTATTTACCATGTCCGTCCCTTATTACCCCGTTTGATGGTACTTAAAAATAAAGCATATAGTGAATTTGGTGAATAAATAAGTTATTGGATTACACAATCTATCATAAACAGGCATGTGCAATATGTATTCTGTGATGTTTGTGAAAGAAATATATGTATGTTCACATAAAAAGTGACTGGCATCACCATGTGATTTCTGAACAAGATTTTATTAGAAATTTCAATAAATAACCATTGGGTTGGAAATACAAGTGATGAATGTTTTATGTGTTGTATTGTGGTCTATAAAACAATAATTTACCATCGGGTTGGAAATAAGTGATGAATGTTTTATGTGTTCTATTGTGGTATATTAAACACTAAATTACCATTGGGTTGGGAATACATGTGATGAATGTTTTATGTGTTCTATTGTGATATATTAAACACTAAATTACCATTGGGTTGGGAATACAAGTGATGAATGTTTTATGTGTTCTATTGTGGTATATTAAACACTAAATTACCATTGGGTTGGAAATACAAGTGATGAATGTTTTATGTGTTGTATTGTGGTATATTAAACACCGTGGCTCGTGGTAATTTAAGCATATTTTTGCAAAGTAATTTTAGAATGGTAGGAAATTGAGTTATACATAATGTTAAGTCTGCTCCTAAATAGTAAATTATACAGTACCTCTGCAAAATGAATCCAACTAATAATGTAAAATGAAGCTCCCAACCCTGCCATTAGCCATTGTATTGGCAGAAAGCTTTGTAGTGACTTACGGATAAAGGATAAAAGTAGGAGGGATTGAAGTTGCACTTGAAAGAATCAAGAATGAAGGTTGCAACACTTCTAGATTTCAATTAGACTAAATAATAATTCATTAGCAATTTGCCTCTAAGTCAAACATAACAAATTAACATTTATGAATCAATAACAAATCAAGTCACCAATATGAGTTTAACATGAAGCACACCACAAAAGCTATTTAAGGGAGCAAAATCTCATACATGTTTACACAAATGCGCACCTGAGTTTGTTCTGGATTGCAGTTGGCAATGCCAATGCCAGTAGTATGGCATTGTCAACCGTAACATTATGGTACTTAAGTATGTTACTATTTTGGTATGGTTATTGTAGTACAGTAGTAACCATAAGTATTATGGTAGTTTTTACAAGTGTATTCAATAATTTTACCTCTGTTCCCATGATGCTCATTTCTACTGTCTGCAGTGTCTAGGCTGTTAAATCGACACATGTATTGGGTAGCTGCATAAGTGTCGCACTGTTCTCCCACTGATTGGTTAAAATAACCTAAGCAAATGAGCCAAATGTCAAGCATTCAAATCAAAAATACCTCTTGCTTACTTCTTTAGATGTTGGTCCTATAAATAGTGAAACCATTTTAAATGTTTTTTATATTATTAGCCTTTCATTTATTTTTGTAACATATTTATCTATCTATAAAGCACATTATCTGTCAAATATGTTCACACAAAAATTATGAATTTTAAATAAAATATTCATACTCAATTTTTTTAGATTGAAATACTGATGTCACCACTATCAAATTATAATGGACCAAATGGCACGTGCTGAAGCACCCAATGATTTATTTAATACAATAATTGCTGCTTTTAAACAATGAACATTTTCTAAGACACAAGACGGTCAAAAACTCTTTATGGGACATGAAATCATTCAGAATCTGGAGCAAAATTATTTAGACAATATCAACAAAATAGAGCAAAAACCTAAAAAATTCATATCTGGACCCATATTCAGAGGTGTTTAAAGTTTGAAACAACTCTCCATCATTTAAATCTCAGTGTGGAACAAATCTATTTATTGTGAAATCAAATTTGACATTACCAAAACAAGGTGTGGGACAGTGCAAAATTCAAAAATAGAAGTTAACTTATAAAAAAGCTTTCCACCAAGGTGGAAAGGTTTCCTTAGATACAGTGTCCTGCCAGGTGACTGGCTATAAAGGAAAAGCAGGAACAAAAGTGGGCAAACTGTTGCAATTATATAGTACCACAGATTTGTTATAGAATTGTTTAGTTATCTTGCTTGAAATTTTTTATTTTTTATTTACTGGATTTTTTTTAATTTACCAGGCCCTTTGTTTGTACAGAATAATGATTAAGTTTAAGTTGAGTATTAAGTCAAGTTAGTTCAAGTATTAAGTTAAACAGTACTGTAGTACATATACCATATTTGGAGGTGGGGCTTTTGGGCACAACCAATCACAGCTGGAAAGGGGAGGACATTACAATTCCATTAACCAATCACAGCTGGAAAGGGGATGACATCACCATCTTATCAACAGTCACAGCTGGAAAGGGATAGGATATGTATATAATGGACCATATTTGGAAAGTTTCTGGCCTTTCCAAGCTTTCATGTCCTGCTTGCCAATATGCTATCTGTATTGGTTAATTTAATATCCCTCTAGAATACCACACTGGTGTGGGACACCGCTCATCATATGTTTACATCACAGCACAATGTGTCATTCACCGTGAAAGATTTGCAGTTTATCTCATCCTTTTGTGTGGTTTTGAAAACTATATTAGTGAAATTGTGAGAATTTTTGCAAAAGTTGAAATAATTTTTTTAGAACATATTAATTACAAAAATTTGTCAGTTACGGAGAAAGAATTAGTATATGTAATCAACTATTGCACCTCTGACCCAGTATAAGATTCATAACCACGGTAGTTTCTGATTAGCTCAGTGTATCAATTGTCATTGCAATGTGCAGTGGAAGGTGTAATGTGATGGGCTTTTTGATCCATTTTCTTATATAAACATGATAATATATTACCTATCCAAAATTCGACACGGCTGACTGCTGAGCACCAATTTTTCAATAGCTTCATGTAACCTTATTTGAAAAAATTCCACTCTTTGCTTCAATGTTCACTATTATTCAATTATACAGGTTTGATTGAAGACAAGAGCGTACTTTTTATTAACAATTTTCTTATTGTTTTTTCTATTGTACCATT